TGTCTCAAAAATAAATAAACGTTAAAAAAAAATTTTTTTTAAGTCAAGTATAGATGATGATATATATAACAACGTCCTTATTTCCACACCAAAATCTTGGATTTTGAGCTAAGGTTACGTTTTGGAGAAGGGACTGCTAAGTTCTAAACAGGAGCATCACTGGAGTCTTTTAAGAGTTAGGAACATGTCAGAACTAGGTAGCCTGAGCTGGTCGAAGGCTAGAGTGAACACACCTGGAAAGACTCAGCAAAATCCATGCCTACTTTTCAGCATTGTCTCTGGCCACTGAATCTTAGGGACAATGGATAACTTGTTCACTAAGAGCCTTAGTATTGGGCTAAATATCTTATCTTGAATAGTGTGATTTAGTTGCAAAAAAGACTTTCCAACTCTGAATTTATATAGTTGTTATGTTTTGCTTAAAATCAGGGTTTGCCTGGGCCACCTGGGTGGCTCAGTTGGTTAAGTGTCTGACTTTGGCTCATGTCATGATCTCATGGTTCGTGGATTCAAGCCCCACATTGAGCTCCATGCCCACAGCTCAGAGCCTGGAGCCTGCTTTGGATTCTGTCTCCTTCTTTCTCTGCCCCTCCACCACGCGCGTGCGCGCGCGCGCGCCCGCACGCGATCTCTCAAATATAAATAAACATTAAAAAAAATCAGGGTTTGCCTTACTTTATCTGCACCAAGATATAATGCACCAGAATAATGGCAAAGTGGTTTTCCCCAAAGGGTGAAACACTGTAAAGTCACTGAACGCAGCACTGAACGCTGCATGTGGCAGAGACTTTCTAATTCTGACACCAGCCAGGAACCACTCGGGGATGGGTGTGGAAGTGGGACAGACTTTGGCTTCTTGGCCACCAGCATTCCTGTTGATCCCCAGGATTCTTCTGCTGTGCAGCTGCTGTGGTTGGTATTCATGAGGGACACTTTCTGACCCTTGACCTCCAGCCCCACAACAACAAATCAATCATCAGTGCTAACAAATTGGCCTTGGCTTACCACCAAGTATGAAATTATATAAGACTCACTAAATGGACGTGTTTAAGGGGTTTCTAAGATACAGATATGAATATTCAAAGACTATAAAAAAACACAGATGCTTTTGTACAGAGTCTGCTTTCTTCTCTTTGAATTGGTTTTCCTTGTCATAGAAATTAGCTTCATACACCCACACAGTCCCCAAATCTCTGCCAGAAACAAATGACCATTTGTGAAGTCGTTGGCTTTTGATTTATTCTATAAAAAGTACCCACATGAAGTTAACAATTGCAGGCTGTCACTGTGCTACATGTAATAATATATTCAACAGAAGTGTAATTTCAGAAGTAGTTACGAGCTAATCACCGGTTGCTACTCTGTTCCGACTGTATAAATTGTAACATTGCTTTAGTATAATCACTCACTATAAAATAATTTCATTTTATTACTATTTTACATTATACCTCAAGTGGAAAGACTCATTTAGCAAATTGTGACCAAAAGGTGCTCCAGTGAGTTTTGAGGTAACTCTCTTCATTTGGTATTTGATATCATTTTTCAAGGAAAGGATTTAGTAATTCATTTTAGCAACTGCTGCCAAACAGAAACAAACATTGGTGTGCAGAGCCATTTGTCCTCTCACTCCAGATGTATACCTTTAGAAGCAAAGTAAATACTAGAATCATTTAGGAAGGAAAAAAAAAATCTCCCTCCACTTTCTGAAGAGTTCTTTTGAGTTCATAAGAGTTCTTTTGTTTGTTCTGTTCTGTTTTGTTTTAAACTTAATTTTACCTATTTGAGAATACTAACTTTGCTTGTATATTCAAGTTTTTAAGGCATGGTGCTGGAGACCTCATTGTTTCATGCTGCATCTACTTAGGTCAGTACCATCCAAATGTAGCTTTTATGCTCAGAAAAAAAAAAAAAAAGTCCAGAATTCTTGCCTCCTCTTGATCATGGCTAATCTGCTGGACAACTTGGAAAGGGGATCTCACTCAACCCACTGAATCTAGAGTCACGTGATATCAACCACTTGCCTGGTTCCCTTTCTCTGAGACCCATCATTTTCTTTCTAGTATTTTAAGATCAGAGCTGGAACCAAAGGTGATAGAAGTTCTGAAATCTCACACATCTATTGACTGGTGCCCCTCTCCCAAAGCCCCTGGAAACACTTTTTTTTTGAAACTATATGCTAAATGCTAACATTTTAAGTGATTTTGTATTTCTCTAATTCCATATTTCCCAAATACATAAATCCATATTTACATATTTTCAAAAATTTCTGATGTATACATATATATCTCTTATAGCCTAAAAGATAGTAGATCTTAATTAAGTCCCGATAGCCTCTGATCAAGAGCCCAGAACCTCTTCATCTCTCTTCCCCGGCCAAGCGATGTTCCTACCAGTGAAGATAGGCTGGAGCCCCAGGACAGGGAAGATGTGTTTTTGCTCTGGGACTGAGTGAACTATGCTTCTCAATCTCTTCTGGTTGGTTCCAGCAATCCTGTTTTTGCATTTCTATGCTGCCTGTTCATTCTCTTTCTTTCTCCTCTTTCTTGATACTTAAGATGGCCTTTCTTTGGCCTCAGATGACTAACTCTCCGGTTTAAGGCATGTATCAAGAAAGTTTTCGAGGCAGAAATAATTTTATCTCTGCAAGAAAAGTGAAAAATTGGGAATAGGAAGGGAGCAACAAGGGACAGCCACTTCCTGACCCTGTGAAGAGTCAACTACAGCTATAGAAGTTAAGTTGCTTATATCTGCAGCAGGCAAGGAAGTTGGGGGTGGGGGGGAAGCATGTGAACACAGGTCTATTTGAGCTTTCCCTACTATAGTTGCAGTCATAATTATTTCATTATCATCATTATATACCAGGTCATCGTTATATTTCCTTAGCAATATATTGCCACTCTTACAAGGGCACCTACAGTCAACAATTGTAGATTGTCACTGTGTCACATAGTGCACATTCAATAGAAATCTAATTCCTATGTGTACTGAATTCATTGCAAGCTTATTTTTGTTAAAAAAAGGTATGTTGTCTAAGTACAAGATACATAATGGATTTTACAGTTTATGGGGAAAAACAGTTTAGTTGATCACATATTAAATATGATGTAGTTGTCTAAATTACTAGCAACATAATAGGCCACAGTAGTGATGGATAGTGTTCAAATCTTTGGCACAGATCCTGGTCAGATTTTTGGAGCAGTGCCTATTCCAGGACCCACTCTGTAAGAAAAGTCTTGACAAATTCCCACATCCCCAGAGAAGTACAGTCAAATGGTTACAACCATTCTATGTCAGTTCCATTGTATTCTACTGCAAGTAAGAAAAGTCCTAATGATGAGTGACTTCAACTCAAAGACATTCCTTGTTTACATAACAAAACCAGAAGGTCACTGACTTTAAGTTTGACTCAGCAGCTTTACAAGGTCAAGGTGCTGGATTGGCATTTCTGTGATTTTATTGGTCAGCTCCTACTGGTCATAAAATAGCTGCCACAGTTTTAGGACTTACCCCTTTATACTTTCTCACATGAAAGTGAATATGCATTTGTTCTGTGTTGGAAAGGAGGACAGATTCCAGATGGTCGGTAAATGTTTAAAGACGACTATTTCAGCTCAGTCTGGGCGAATATTTGTTAACTTTACAGTCACCCAAAAATGGAATGACTGCTTTCAGGATATGGCGAATATACCCAGACTGAGGGTATGAAAGTATAGGTAGGTTTGATGGTCATTCATTTACTATTGCTGTAAAAGGAATTTCAAAATCGAAGAGAAATGGAAGTTACACATTCCTAGAATCTTTCCTAACTCCAAACGTTCTACTATTGAGAATACTGCTGCTACATTATTGACACACTGAAATAGACCACAATTAAGAATAACTATGGTAAAATCAAAACCTAAATCTGTTATTAAGAAATTATAGGGGGGGGCGCCTGGGTGGCGCAGTCGGTTAAGCGTCCGACTTCAGCCAGGTTGCGATCTCGCGGTCCGGGAGTTCGAGCCCCGCGTCAGGCTCTGAGCTGATGGCTCGGAGCCTGGAGCCTGTTTCCGATTCTGTGTCTCCCTCTCTCTCTGCCCCTCCCCCATTCATGCTCTGTCCCTCTCTGTCCCAAAAATAAAAATAAAAAAAATAAAAAAATAAAAGAAATTATAGGGGCACCTGGGTGGCTCAGTTGGTTAAGCGTCCTACTCAATCTCAGTTCAGGTCTTGATCTCAGGGTCAGGAGTTCAAGCTCTGCACTGGGCTCCACAGTGGGTGTGGAGTCTATTGGAAAAAAAAAAAGATAAATAATGCATCAAGAGACACGACATCACTATTTGAATTTTAAATAATTTATGAAATAGCAGCTTGGTGAACCTACTTTTGCAATGCACATTCTGGCATTTCTAGCA